GTTTACATGACCACTTGAATAATCAGGTAACTCCAGAAATCAGATAATGATCGGTTTATTAGTGTGCATGTAAACGCGCTCACTGTTTTAAGTCCAATTTCTTGACAGCTAGGCTATAAAAGTAAAATGATCAAATTATTGATTAAATGAAAGTAAAATCCTAAAATGAACTTTTAGCATGTCATCTGTCTCTCCCTCCCTCATTCTCTCTCTCTCTCTCACACACACACACACAGTGTCACACTTAGTCACACACAGGGTCAGACACACAGTTACAAGGACAGTCACACAATCACAGACAGTTACACTCAGTCACACACAGGGTCACACACAGTTACAAGCACAGTCACACACAGTTACACTCAGTCACACACAGGGTCACACACACAGTTACAAGCACAGTCACACACAGTTACACTCAGTCACACCCACGGTCACACACAGTTACACAATCACACACAGTTACACACAGTTACACACAGAGGCACAGACACACACACTCACAGTCACACACAGAGGCACAGAGACACACACACACACACACACACACACACACCTGGGATCGAGCAGCGTTGCCATGGTGTAGAGAGGGTTTTCCTCCGCATCAGAGAATCTCTTCTTGACGGCTGCAGCCAAGGTTGCCTTCATTGTTTTGATCCCATGGTCTTCATCGGTCTCCTTTGTTAGAAATCTGTGCAGCACAGTGACAGCTGGAATGACGTCTGCGGCTGGGGCATCTGAAGAGCTCACTTTTCGAGTTAACTCCTCAAACGGACCCAGAACAGATAGCACCTTCTTCAGCAGTGTCCACTGGTGAGCCATGAGAGTATCAGGGAGTCCTTGTTCAGAGACGAATATTCCCAGAGCCCGTTTCTGTTCAACCAAGAAAATGTAAAATGTAAAATGTACTGTTCCAGTGGGTCTTTACGTCTTGCTGGAGTCGCTTGGCAGGCTGGTTGATCTCAAGTTGAATGTCCTCGAGGCGGGAATAGGCCAGAGCAGAGTGTTTGAAATGTCCAACTACTCTGCGCCCCATTGCCACCGCATCAGCAACACTCCTCTGTGACAAAAGGCCTTCGTGAACCGCCAGCTGGAGAGTGTGAGCAGTACAAGGTAGGCTGGGGAGTTCTGCATCACTCATGGCCTTTATCATATTTTTAGCGTTGTTGCGGAGTACAACATGGACAGATGTTTTTGGAATTCCCCAGGTCTGAAGCACTACTACCACTGTGTGGTTAAACTGAGCAGAGACATTGGACAGACACTGCTCGTCCAAATGTCAGTTGTAAAACTGAAGGCTGAAACTTCGTGCACCAGGGTGCTAACATGTTTTTTTTACCTCGTCAAATACTTTTGGCATCATAACATCCATGATGTAATGGCAACCAGGAATCTCATATCGGGGCTCGAGTGCGCCGAGAAGACGGCAAAATCCTTCGTCTTCTACAACTGACAGTGGCTGGTCATCCAGAGCTATATAATGGGTTAGAGCCTCCGTTATTTTAACGGCCCGTGGGTTGTCTCTTGCCATTGTGTGTCGCTTTTGCAGAACCTGAGCTAATGTTGGCTGTTGCGGTCTTGCATTAGCATTAGCATTAGCAAACTCCATATACTCAGCTTTATGATCATCTTTTGAATGCTTGTCCCTGATTTTTTCAGCCAACTTTGGTCCAACATTGACAAAAAAAAATCATTAAACCCGACCTGTCCAGGGTGTACCCTGCCTCTCGCCCAGTGTCAGCAGGATAGGCTCCAGCCCCCCTACGACCCCCAACAGGATAAGTGCTTATGGAAAATGAATGAATGAATGAATGAATCCTTCTTGCATTACCCCATAATAGTAGTTTGTTTATTTTTGTATTTCTTGTATTTTTGTTCAGCCTCTTTGGTTCTATATTTTATAAATTGTCTATATAGAGTATTTTTCTTTCTGCAGGCATTTAGCGATCCCTTTGTGACCCATGGCCTGTTTGTAAGATTTTGCGCCATATTATATTGCTTTATTGGACAATTTTTGTCATATAGTGATTTAAATATTTTTTTTTTTAGAAAAGATTCATAAGCTATGTCAATATCTTTTTCTTCATAAAGGCTTTCCCAGTTTTGCGCTTGCAAATCCGCTCCAAATGCATTTATAGAATCTTCTGTTCTTAGTCTACTGTGTTTGATTTTATGTTTCTCTTTCTTTTTTCCACAATCACAGTCATAAATCACAAAAACAGGCAAATGATCACTGATATCATTTATCATCAATCCACTCGTTAAGCTGTTTTCCATATAATTAGTGAATATGTTATCAATTAGAGTGGCACAGTGTGTTGTTATTCTGCTAGGTTTGGTGATCAGTGGATATAAGCTCATATTGTACATTGTATCCATAAATTCATCAGTCATTTTGTGTTTGTTAAGATTTAACAGGTCTATGTAAAAAACATCACAGGGGAACATAATTTTCTGGTTGTTTTTAGCAAATATTCCCTCCATAATGTTTGTGAAGGTTTCAATGCTGGATCCTGGTGTCTAGTTCACACAACTGACAATCACATTTTTTTTTCGCTTTTCCATGCAGATCTCTACAGAAATACATTCCATTACATCATCAGTTGTGGTTGGCATGTTCTCTACCACCTTATGGGTAAGGTTATTATTATCGACATATAAGGCTACACCCCCTGCTTTTTTTAATTTTTCCTGTTCATGTAATAGAATTTGTATTTCTAACTCGAAGCCTGCTCCCTTCTCAGAGTTAAGCCAGGTTTTGGATATAGCTATGACCTTAAATCGTTTTCTGAATTGATTGAAATATTTTTTTATGTTATGTTAATTAGCATATAAACTTCTGCTATTAAAGTGAATAATTGACATACCATGCTCAGATGTACATTGCTGTTATATTGTTCATCGTTGCAGTAGCAACATGTATTATTTAGATGTTGATGGTAATTCCTTTGTTTTTAAAGAAGGCCGTCACCTGATGCTCAAGGGACTCCAAGTCAGACTCGGTTGGTTCCCTGCTGTTTTCCGACGGTGTCACCGCCCTGGCATAGGAGCACCTTAGTCTCCAGCCTGCTATGATCACGTTGTTAACGCTGGAGTACTGCTCCAGCCTGCTACGCTAGCTATCTTTGCTAGCAGCCAGCTTACCAACATTTGTCTTTCAGTCCGTTTTCCTTGCTCTGTGTTGCTGTCCAAGCAGTTGTCAGTGCCAGATTTCTCAATATGTGTTGTCCAATGTCTGCAATCCAGAAGCATTATGTTTCCAGGTTGTTTGCCTTGTCTGTCGACTGTCTGTCGACTGTCCGTCCCATCCTTGTGAACACGATATCTTAAGAACACCCTGAGGGAATTTCTTTAAATTTGACACAAACATCCACTTGGACTACAGAATAAACTGATTAGAATTTTGTCGTCAAAGGTTAAGGTCAATGTGATCTCACAAAATATGTTTTTATATGCTAATTATGCTAATTATGACAAAATGTGACACACAATATGATGATAAAATGATGTAGTGATGCCATTTTATACAAAAAAGGTCAAAGGTCAGCTTTACTGTTACATCATAATGTTCTGCATAAAACACTTAACTGGCCATTATTCAACGTCATATCTCAGGACCATATATTTGGTCAGATACTTAATTGGTGGCACTCATCTTGGATGTTCACCTTGAAATTGTGCTGATTTTATAGCTCTTCTGTGTATGAAGCATCCATCTTTTCACAGACATTTAAAATTCAAAATTGATTGGCATACAATCGTGGGGCGGTAATTCTATTTATTTTTTTTTCCACATAACTTTCAGTCTACAGCCTCACTTAATGTTGCATTCACTTCAGAGAAAAAAGCCATAAATAAAACACTGAAATATTATCACCTAATGACTTAAAACAAATAAAGCAGTAACCTATTTACACATTCAGCAGTTATGGAGCAACATTAGCATTTATTTGGACTTGTGTTTCTGGCCACCTGAAGAATTATATTCACTCAGTCTTAGTTCTGTGTTTGCTCTCTACCAACTCTGGAGAAATAATCTGTCTCTACAGCTGCTAAATGCTTTACCATGTTCTTCAGCTAGTTTCTGACTTTGCCATCTAGAGAGGGTGGGGAGCGTTCAGTGGGTTTTAAGAGCTTTTAACTGGAAACAGTTGACTGCTGCAGTGAAAGGGCACTGATGACAGTGGTGAGACTGGACCAGATCATTAAAGCTAGGGAATATCAATCAAAAACTATGATACTACTGATTTAACAATTATGAATATAATATAAAAATAAGTTTAGATATGTGGTTCAACATTATTATTCAACATATCCTGCTAGTTTTGTAATGACTGGACAAACAACTTCTGATTTATAGTTTAATTTGTGTTATGCCACCCCCATTTTTTGCATTTGTGGCACCCCCTTGTGGTCAATTTGGATGAAACTTGCAAGGTATGTTAATATTTCTGTAGACATTTCCTGTAGGTTTTGTGATTATTTGCATAAGGGTTATGGAGGTCATATTTCTTGGGCAGTATTTGCACACAACTTCCAATCTTTGGAGAACATTTCATGGGTCTATGATGTACCATCTCACAGGAATTTGATAAAAACAGTTGTGAGCGGGGCGTCGGTGGCTTAGTGGATAGAGCAGGCGCCCCATATACAAGGCTGTTGCTGCAGCGGCCCAAGTTCAACTCCAGCTTGTGGCCCTTTGCTGCATATCACTCCCACTCTCTCTCCCCCTTTCATGCTTGACTGTCCTATCAATTAAAGGCAAAGTGCCCCTCAAAAATATCTTTAAAAAAAAAATCAGTTGTGAGGAAAAATGATAATAAATCAGCACAAAAAGAACAGGGTTTTAGCCCCTCGTCCTGGAACCCCTAAAAAACTATAGGTCTCCAGCAGCAGGTCACCGCTTTGATCCCTAATAATAATAATAATAATAATAATAATAATAATAATAAATGTTGTGAGAGTAACTTGCCCCTGTACTGCCTTTGCTGTCACTCTAGGTCCAAACTGCTTTGCTGGGAACAGGGTGATTCCAGCGGGGGAGCGTGTCAACATTGACGAGCAGACAGTATGCTACTGCACCTACCGGGATGGGACGTGGCACACCCATCCTCAGGCCACCTGTGAACGGCGCCCCCAGCCCAGCCCAACACCCAGCACCCACACCAAGCCCCCCGATGACAAGGATTTTAGCGGGAAAGCAGGGAAGCCGTTTATTCCCAGACTAGATGTGATACCATGAAGTGGAGTGTAAAATAACAATTTCATAGAGACAAAGCCAGTCAGCTGGTACAAATAAACTAAACTAACTAAAAGTTGTATGTATTAGTATCAGAATATCTAAATTTATATATATAATTGCCTGAAGAAATGTGGGATAATCTGCAGGGTTGTTGGTGTTGGAGGTGAAATTAGCAACATCCTAAGAAAAAAAAGACTTTCTATTTTTTCCATTTTCATATTCACACATTTTCCATTTTAATTCACTTATTCAATTGTCCCATATTTAAATACAGTGGCAGATTTACCATCAGTATTCTGAATCATTTTTTAAACAATTGCTCTTTGATTTCAGTAGATAAAAGTAGGCTTCTCATTTCCATCAATTTTGCCACCATAGACCTTTTTTAAGGCAGACATTTTGACATGTCATAGAAGGAAAATCACTGGTGTAATTTTAAAGTGAAATTTTGTTCATAGCTTTAGTTAGTATTGTTGAGTCGAGTTGATTGATGTCTAATTGCGGGGCTAATATGAAAGTCTGACATTAGGTTCACTACCGATATAGTTCCAATGGCTCCTTGTTTAAGTATGCTGATGACATGGCCATAGTTGGTCTTTTACAGAAAACACATTCAATCAATCAATTTCAATCAATCAATTTTATTTATAAAGCCCAATATCACAAATCACAATTTTCCTCAGAGGGCTTTACAGCATACAACATCCCTCTATCCTTTGGACCCTCGCAGCGGATAAGGAAAAACTCCCCAAAAAACCCATCAGGTGAAGCTGCCTATCTGGCCCACACTAAGGCCCTTCAAGCATGGTGTCGCACAAGTGAGGTAGAAATTAATATGGCCAAGATTAAAGTATTAATTATTTGCATAAATCAAGATCTGAACACAGAGGCAGTTTGTCTTGATGGTCAACATGTTGAAACTGTAGAAAACTTTAAATACCTTGGTACACTTCAGGTGAGCTTCTCTGGAAATACTGAGTGTAGTTTCAAGAAATGCTCACACAGCAACTTCTAAGGAAAATTAGTGGCCTCATTGTTAGACAGCAGATTTGAGAACTAGTGTACAAAACTAAGGTTGAGTGTTTCAACTTTTTACCTTTCTGCCTAGTATGGTTACCAGAACTGCACATCTAAGAATAAACTCTTTAGGGTTGTGTCAATGGCAGGCAAAATAGCTGCCGAGCCACAAAAGCCCTTGACCCAATTCTTTACAAAAAAAAAAGAGGATTAAAGTAGGTAGTATCTTAGCAGTTAGCTCTCATCCTCTCTTCAGCCAGTTTAAGCTCGAGAGCTCCAGGAGTCGCTATAGAGTCCCTCCGGCAACTAAAAATGTAGTCAAGACGTCCTTTATCTCAAATGGCGTCAACATTTTTCAATCAATAAGTGACTGATGAATTTTAAACCACAGACAGACACTGACATGAACTCATTTAATGTGTAAAGTAATGTCCTTGTCTATATGTCTGTTTTACTTATTGCTTGCCTTTTTTTTTTTTTTCTTAAGTTTCTCTCCTGAGTCTGGTGGGCTGAGGACAGAATTTCCACCTTGACGTATGATGAAGATGTATTCTATTCTATTATATGGAAAAAAAAAAGTTTCAAGCAATTTAAGTTACCGTTAAGTTTGCCCCAATTTGCAGTTGGACATTGACACACCCACAAAACCTATAACAAGAGCTCTTGTGCTGCATGTGCCATTATTATTATTATTGACCAGCGCGCGCCGTTATTGGACGGCGCATGGACACTCACCCTCTTGCGATTGGACTTTGAACTTATCCCACAGTAGTGGTACCGTGAGGTACCGTAGTACTACGGTACTCCAACAATGCTAGTGCGGGTGGCAACCAATCATGCAGGACATGGTCTCAATATGCGTGACGCGTGAAAAGAGACAGAAATGCTTTGCAGTCCCGCACAGTGCGGGGCGTCTGGTCACCCTACTTAGCCACTTGCAAGCAGCAGCTAGTAGGGGGCCCCATTAAGGGGGATTCCAACGTGTTGTCGTTGTTGCAGTGTCTATAGAGGTTCCATCATATTGTCATTGATATGGACCAATGTCAGCTGTCTCTGGGGGCCCCCTTCCAGCTCGGGGCCCTAGGCAATTGCCTAGTTTGCCTGTCCGGTTGCGACGGCCCTGTCTGTGAACATAATAAAGGTTTATTTCAGGGATTTATTTACATACAAATGTGTGTGTGTGTGTGTGTGTATATATATATATATATATATACAGTACAGGCCAAAAGTTTGGACACACCTTCTCATTCAATGCGTTTTCTTTATTTTCATGACTATTTACATTGTAGATTCTCACTGAAGGCATCAACACTATGAATGAACACATGTGGAGTTATGTACTTAACAAAAAAAGGTGAAATAACTGAAAACATGTTTTATATTCTAGTTTCTTCAAAATAGCCACCCTTTGCTCTGATTACTGCTTTGCACACTCTTGGCATTCTCTCCATGAGCTTCAAGAGGTAGTCACCTGAAATGGTTTCC